AACCATTATAATTTTCCTTAAAAGTTCACAAAAAGCACTATTATCATGAATATTTCCAGGTTTTTCAAGCAAATAGTTTAGCTTTTAGAGGGGGGGGGGGGGGGGAGGCAAGCAAACGGATGCCTAAATCGAAAAATAGTCTAAGGAACCCATAAGTAATTTAAAGGACCTATTCAACGATATCCCACACGATGGGGTAATGATGATGGATGAAAAAATAAAATCATCTTCAGGTAAAATATTTTATACCTCCATTTTGTGGGCATGACAGTCTCTAAGCTAAACCGGGGCGGACAGACAGACGGACATGACGAAACTATAAGGGTTCCTTGTCAGGACGACGGAACCCTAAAAAGGAGATTCTGGTGCTCTAGAATAGGACTGGTAGTACTCCGGAATCAAAGGGGTTTAGTGTGGGAGCGCCCGGCCTGTATAGCACAGATTCCTAGGATGAGAGATGTCCTTTATCATCGGGAGAATCTATATCAGCGACGCAAATCACCGGTCTTTTGCCATACCTACTAGCATGCCATAATTCCACCCGACAACCGACAGGTGCATAATGTCTGGTAACAAATGGAGATTTTTGGTTTTTAGAGAGTGTATGCTGTTGGTAGCAGATGACCTTTACAGTGTCACCGGGTTTGGGGACGGCGAGATCCTAATGGGACCTCAAGCCGAGAATTGGCGAGTGCCTCTAGAGGTATTTCAGGTGGATGGCATCTCCTCACGGGGGAGTCTCCTCTCCGTCTGAAGCCTCTAAACCGCTCGAACCTGAGGGGGTCGGCTCAACTAGAGGACGTCTCTGAGACTCGGACCTCGGTTCTAGTTAGCCGTTGTCTTGGGGGCGGGATAACAAGTGGAGATGTTACGTTCATTTCCCCGCCGGACCACCTGTACTATTAGGAAAGCACCATTGATAGTACAAAAAAGGCCACTGAGTTGGATGTATTGCGCAAGAAGGAGTCTCACACAGCCAACAAGGCGGCGAGGCAAGCGTTTTGCATTTCCAGAAACACGTGTGGCAATGGTAGAGAACTAGAGATTAAATATCGAATTCAAATAAAAAAATTGTTGTTTTCAGTTTAGGCTGTCAAGCACTCGTGAATGTTAAGAAGCTACGCCATACTATCTTGAACTCCACCATGCTCGGGAACAGTGGCGGGGCAAGACCTAAATTTGATGTGGGCAAGACAGATTTCGCGAGGCCCTGTTCTGTGGCGACCTGAAGACGGCAAGTTGAACAACGGATGACGGTTTTTGAGCAATGCATAAAAATTTTTGAGGCGCGAGGCCCCTTGTACCGCGAGGCCGTAGGCGGTGGCCCACGTCGCCCACGCCTTACGCCGCCTCTGCTCCGGAAAGAACGTTAAGCCGTTAGTACACACCAATCGGCACGTGACCCGCGCGGTGGGTCACCGCTTTAGATGCGAAAACAGATATTAATGATTTTACCAATGTGGTTAAACTGCATTTTTTGTTATTATCGGTTATTTAACCTCATTATATGCTTGTTAAGGTTAACAAGCATCGCTGGATGACGCTGCTAGTGGATTAAAAAATGCGCTATTATTATGTTTTTTTTTCAGATTTTTCAGTCTAATAGTTCTATAGTTTTTAGTGGGGGGCGGACGCCCTACGCGAACAAAAATGAACACTTTTAAGTTGAATATTTCGCAAACGGGAGCCCTAAATCGAAAAATAATCGTAGGACCCCCCCCCCCCATTAATTTTAAAGGTCTTATTCAACATATTCAAGGTAAAGATGAATTGGTCTGTTTAACGAAGAGATTGTCATTTCCTTGCCAGGGTCGCTCAAGTAGGGCGAGCTATAGAGCGCGTACTCCGTCCGCCTTAAAATTAAAGGAAATACATACTGTTTGATTACAGAGTGAAGATAATTTTAAATCATACACATGCGTCTACCATAGCTATGCAGACTATCTCATTTGGGGAGATTACGTCACGTCTTCCCTAAGCAAACCTGTAAATGTCCATTAATAAGGTGATGATGATTCGTGACACTTAAGCTGATTCTTATGAGACAATAGTTATCTCATTGTCAATCTCCCTACATAAGTCAGAATGTAAGGTGACAGACCAGGCGCCTTCTGCACCTGGACAGGAACAACCTGAGACTGGTAGTAAAGACTATCACCGGGCATTGCTCACTGAATAAATACATCCACAACCTAGGTATCACTAATCACTGCGTATCCTATGCAGAGCATGCATGGAAGCAGAGGTGACAGTGGCCCATGTGCTCCTCGAGTGCACCAGTGACGTCGTCCAGACCCGCGGGGAGACTCCTGGTAAACCGGAATCTCTTGCAGATGCCCTGAGTAGACTGGAAAGACTAATCTGCTTCTCAAGGATGGTGGGCTGGCTGGAATAATCGGAGGACTAAGTGCGATAACCTTAATAGGATACATTCTATTGGTCACCTAATCAACAATGCATACCACTAATGATGTACTTCTACAGAGAGGTTTCAAGAAGCTTAGCAGCTTTGTATTTACCTAAAATCTAACTAATAAGAGAAATAGTAATGTCATACAAACAGTAGATAATGATAAGGATATATAAAGCTTTTTTGTAATACATTTTTTGGAATTGGGACATTTGTTCATTCTTCAAAGAAACAATCTAGAGAAGTAGGGCATAGTGGATTTTCCGCTTGAATTGGAGAGCCCTTCTGGGGAAGCAACCTCCACCTTATGAGACCACAGTCCAATAACTTTTGGTGGTACAACATTGCTTCAGAAGCATGACACGACACACCACCAAAATGGTGCCTTGTGATGATGTGTCAGTCAGTGAGCAAGATTCTAAGGCTCCAAAGGGTAGATTAGATCAGGGTAGGCAACGGCGCAAGTGATATTTTTTGTATCGCAAGCAACTATAGGCCATGACCCATAAGCTGGCTACACCATCAGGCTGACTGGCTTGTTTGCCATGCTTAAAAACTTTAAAAAATACTCTTGTTTTGGTTTGTCATGCAAAAAGGACATTGTAAGGTAATATTCTAATACTTTATGGATATAGTGTGTTTATGCATATTGTCTTATGCAATGCATCCTGTACTAAAAGATAAGGAAAGTAAAGATTATTTCCTAAGATGTTTTTATATGTCATAGATTATTTCCTTAAACATTATAAAGTCACATACATTTCAATTAACATCATTGATTGACTGCAATATCAAGAAAATGAATGAGTGATAATGGTACGCTATCAGTTATTTAATAGATTTAATATTAGTAAACATGTGACATAGTGACAGTCTATTGATCTTGATCTTGAATAATATAGTAAATAGTATAAACTCGGTTAAATGAACTGTGTAAATGTAAGAATATTCATCTTGCACTACCAATGCGAGTAGATTTCTTTCACATTCTATTTTATGTTGTAATTTAAGCTTTATAGCATAAATTACCGTATACAGTCATAATTAATTGTAATATGACATAGGTCAATTGTAGCAGCTGATACTAATTTTATTAATTGTTATAATAAAAAAAGGTTTTAAATAATTGTTGTAGATCAAAATTTAAGTTAGATCTAAAAGCATTAGATTTATATTTATACAAAACAAAGTTAATACCGTAATAAATAATCAGTTCAAGGCAAAAATTAAGTTGCGAATTGATTGTGGTAATACTGAGCAGTTCCAATGACTGAGCATAGTTAAATTCCTTGACCTACTCACAACCCTATCTTTGTTTAATAAAATGTAAACCACTAATAGAAATGATAAAATGCAATTGCTGATTGTCCAATGCCACATTTGTGTAGAATGCACTCCAAAAATACCATCGTTTGTTTATCAGTCATCCTCAATAATATCCATTGTACAATTCATTCACCTGATTACAAAAGATGCTTACAGTCTTTCTTTGCTTCAGATAAGTACTGTTGCTAATATAAGGTCAGAAACAGTTAACATTTCCTGTTCCTCTCATTATTTTTTATCACTGTTGTTGTTTATTTATCAGCAGCATTAGTCATATAACACCAGCTTTCTTGTTATCCTGAAAAGACTCACCTGACCAAACATGTTTGATTTTTTTAAACACATGCTATAGCTACTGGACACCAACAAAAATGATGGAGGAAACATACAAATCTAGCAAGACTAACTACAAAATTTACTGACAGGATACTTCCGACATATTTGTTATTTTTATATTTAGAAGGGCGAAAGGTATACTTTCGATTTCTTTAAGAATTCGCTTAATATTAAGGCTGTGCAAGTAAGTTGAATTAATTTACATTCTAGTAATTACAACCCACATAAGAAGAAATCAGTCTTTAAATAAAATTAGTTAATTTAGTAGACCTAGTGCAAAATAAAAAATACAGTTTTCTTAATGGCACTGATGATGACATTTGAATGATATGATCTAACACAGAAATGCTGTAATAACTGAAATCTCTATTTTTAAAGATTTTCTTTTTAAGGAACATGCTCAAATGTAATTTGAATTTTACAGTACAAGATTGTTCAAGTGTCTTATGAAAACTCAAATAAATAAATAAATCCAAATATTTATTTAATTTTTTTGAATTTTTTTACAACTTAAAGTTAAAAACTAATGTAACATGGGTTAACTTTATTTGGGGGACCACAACCATAAAAAAATACACTTTAATGTATGCAATGAAAATGCTAAAAACTTTATTAATTGGTTTGCTTATTCTTGTCTCAAATGAAAGTAGTATTTATAAAATAGGCAGACTTCAGCTTCTAATTGCTATTAGCAGGATAGTCTGGAAAGGGGGAAAGGATGGGATTTAATGGATGTGAGGTGAAGGTACAGAAAAATTCATTCATATTTTTAAAAAGTCCATGTAGTAATGAACTGCTCTAAAAGAAAGTAAACATGTATTGTGTGATATAGGCACACCATAATACCAGTCCGCCTTGGGCTTCGTAAATATTAGATAACACATTGATAAAACAAATCCAAGAAAAGTACATAACTTGTGTCACTGACCTGTGGTAAGTTAGCAGCAATTTGTCTCTGCAAGGAGTCTCGTTCTTTTTCCACCTCCTTGAGGCGCAGCTCGGAGTCGCCGAGACGCTCCTGCGTCTCCCGCAAACTCTCCACCAGCTTATCTCGCTCATCGAGCATCGATACCATGAGCTGCTCGAAATTGGCATCTTCACCAGATAACTGCGAACTCCTCTGGCTGATACTGTCCTCGGATATCGTGGGCATCACGTCGCACATCATATTCCACATTTTAATTTAACACCAAACCAGAATACAAACGTACACGATACACCGATCAACACAATTTCAATCACCGTTTATTACATATGTTCCGGCACAAGTGTTACCTAAATCTAACGCACGACACACAAATACGTAGCTTCACATGGTCGAATTGTTCGAATAAAAATTTACTCAACAATTCAGGAGACATTCTAGTTCGATATTTAGAAAGACACACCTAAAACTTGAACTCCTACTACTATTTCATACTATCATGGCTCAAGCGGCATGTCTGCCATCTTGAATTGAAACGTCACTTTAGTCACAGAATAAAAATAAAGTATACATTCACATACGGTAAATAAAGCCGGAGTTATATTGGTCTGTAATATTGATTTAAGGGAAAATTTTACTAGAAAATAATCCACGCAGGCCAGGCAGCAGACAGAACTCGAACACGCAGCCTCCGCTACCCGGGCGGATGCACTGAGGGGGTAACAAAATGTTTGGTAATGCTTGTGTTAGTGTAAGTTGTCAATCAAAAGACGTCAAGTCTCTCATCAAGTGAAACAGTCAATCACGTAAGACTTGTCAAGTCAACTTCATCATCTCCGGGACGCATAATGCAAAACCTAAAAGAAAAAACTAATAATCCTTAAATTTATCTCTATAATGGTGTCGATTCTGATATGATTCTCTAAACCTAATCTTAAATTTTACAACAGTGCATCTTTGTCATTCTCTAAACAAAATGAAAAGGAGAAACTGATATTAAATTAAGTTTTGAGTTCAGAGAATTCAAAACTATTGTACTTTTAAAAACCAATTTAAAACTATTGTACTTTTTGTAGGCATCCAGTCACGTTCACTTCTTTCTACCTTGCCTGCATTTACAAAGTGTTGGTCAGATTTGTTTCTAGACACAGTTTACCTCGATTACACAGATAAAAGTTTGCAGTGGTATGTTTTTTTTATTTGCGTTTATAAAAACAGTTTTTTTAGCTTGTGTGTGTACTGATTTGAATTTAGTAGTTACATCATCCCCGCTAGAACTGACAGAAACTTTTATAAGAAATGAGGTGCTTATGGCTACTCCCATTTTATAGATACCCAAAGCTACAGTCTGTCAATAGTCATGAAAAAAAGGAGGTCGCTACCGTCGCTTACATGGTATTCCCGTTATACATGGGCTTAAACGCTTTGATATTTTGTTAAAAAGTACTGTTGTATAATTATTAAACTTCCATGCATTTCATAATTATCCGAGTTTCTATTTTATCTTATCATCATCTAAGATTTTTATTCTATATATATAATAAAATCATAATGAAATTATCGAAATTTGTCATGGTTTCGAGGGCCAGACTAGTAGACACTCTCCACTCTTGAGACACCTACTAAAGGTGGGAAATAAAAAGAGAGATAGTTATTATAAGGAATATAATATTATTATTATTCAGAGCCAAATACTCTAATTAAAATGAATATTCCTACGCCATCAAGTTGCTGGTTGCTGCCGGCGTCATAGGATTAACTGGAACTGGCATCATCGTCATCTGCACAGTTCCACCAGAAGTAAAATTTTTATACAGATTTTCCCTTCATAATAATTCCTGAAATGTTCTTCAGCCAAGTAATAGTCGCGTTTTGTAGAAATGTTTGATAATCTGCAGTGAATGGCCACCATCAAATTTATATCTTCTCTGACCACTGTTAATAGTATTCTCATACAAAAAATATTTTTTTAACGAATCAATGTCACAAATCAGATGTAATTCTGGACGAAAGCAGGGCTGAACTGTATGTACTTCCAGGGCCCAAGAGGTGAAACTTCAAACTAGGTTAGGTTAGTGTTGTGTGTGTAATTACTTTAAAACAAATAAAATGTGATTCAGTAAGTTTTTTTAACTTTGTGTTTTGTATTGAAATTTATGAAATAACGCCATCTAGTGTTGTATAAATTCATCGCGTTTTATATAAAATTTAATCTAGATGCGTTAGGGGTGATAAAACATACTTTTAATTCTACCTTTTTTCAATCCGGCAAAAACTAAATACATTTTCCCAATTATGCAGTGTAAGGGGTAACGGATCGATGCGATGGATCGGATCGGAAGAAGCTGTCACCTTAACAAATATAGTAGATAAAAAAAATGGAAAAATATAGTACGTGGTTAAAATATTTATTTTATTTTTGAAATGAGTATAATTTTGCTGCTCTATACCTTAATATTTCAGTTTTTATTTTAAGTTGCGTTCATAAACTCGATTTAAAACTTTCGTTTACTTAAAGGCGGCATGTTCTTATGTGACCTAGTAAATTGCTTGTTTAATCATAACTACTCCGGCGGTAATGCTTAGATGAGCGGAATTGAAGAGCTAGATCCTATTTAATGTTTTATCACATAGTCTTAATTAATAAATATTTATATTTATATATTTTTTCTCAATTCTAATAAAAAAAAATATTAAAAAAACGTACGTTTTTCTCACTTCATCTTAGTGAATAAGTTTTATTAAATTTTTTTCTTGTTCACTCTACCTATCTGGTTTGAATTGACAGCTATGACGTCACAATATGGCTCCCAGTCCATGGGCGTAGCCAGGTACGGGCAGGGGGGGGGGGCAGCTGCCCCCCCCCTAGATCGAGGAGCTTCAGAACCAAAAATTAAATAATAAATAATCCAAAAACTAACTATAAAATTTAAAATAAATTAAGAATCGCACATCACTCTCATTAGTCTCGTTACTAAAGCTCTAATTTCGATAGGACTACTCGTAAACAGTGAAGTGATTTCGTACGTACCTACGTTAAGCATTTCTTGGACGTAAAATGATGGATATAAGGATTTTTTTAAAGTATGCAGTCTGTATAATGTTACTGTGTGTACAACTAACAAGTATTAAGGTATTCTTGAAAATATAATTTTGCCGGGCCATGTGTCGTAGTGTAGCCACAAATTGCCGGGCAACTATGGCCCGTTTAGAACACAGGTATAGAAGCATCATAAAAATAAGTTATTCGAAAATTAGTTTTTTACTAGCTAGCACAAGCTAGCTACCTAATGCTTTTATATGCGATTGGTGAAATCATTAAAATGGCTTGGATTGTTCTAGTTAAATCATTTCATATTTATCATTTTGTTTTATAAGTTGTCAGATTTCCCAATAAAATAAAATTCATTCTCATTATTTCTTATAAACCCGGCATAAACTTTAATGAAGTTTCATAGTTGTCCTAAAAAGATCATAAAATGACATCTATTCTCATTAATTGTATATGAGACGAAATTCTTAACAATAGCTCTATTAGTACTTTACTTGTATACTATGTTTGATGTGCCTAAAAAAGGGGAATACGTCCGGCCTGGGTGACGAAACACCAACATCATCTGGTACATTGTAGTGATTTTCATACGTATCTTTTAAAATAGTCTAGTCAGGTTCAGTATCTAGGATTGAAAATGGCTTGCTTTTCGAGTTAACAGTTGAGCTTTCCTTTATTAAGTTAATTTGTTTTTTATTTGTGGTTAATCCTTTTTGGGCAAATAAGCATTGTATTTTCTTTGTACAAGTTACAAAATAAACTTGGCGGTTAATGATTTTAATAATGTTCCAGAAATAAGAGACACGATTAGCGCAATAAAAGATGTCATCAACTTTGTCGAGAATCTTCTCTACGGAGAAAGTACGTGCCAAATATTCCAGCTCTTTGTGAGATACGCTGGTCACAAAAAAACATAAGTATTGATATTTTTCACGATCATTTTGAGGGCATTCTCAATGGGCTTTTGGCAATTTCTAGAGAAGGTAATGCTGCAGCGAGAAAAAACGCTTACCACTTATATTGTGTTGCTACCAAGTAACAATTTATTATACGAGTATCTGCTGGTTTGATAGGAAAATACTCAGGAATATTAGAACTTGTTGCCAATGCCCTATAATCAAAGACAATAGATATGTATATATGAAAGAAGCATCTCAGTAACGCGGACCAGGAATTCCAATATGTCTTCGACACTTCTACAGAAACTGCAGCTGTCATTGGAACCGATTTACATATCCCGCGCATTACATTTCGCCAACGACACCAGTCCAATCATCCTGCTGAGACTCCATGCGATTTTTGGGAGCGATCGATCTTCATCCCGTATTTGGATTCCCTTATATCCGCACTGGAACATCGTTTCTTTGATAAACATATGTTAATCAAAGAAACCATGTTCCAGTAGGCATATGCCTACCTTCGAATTGATGATGTTGCATCCTGATGCGATATTGAAAATTTCATTGGCTGAATTCAAACAGAAAACACAAAGTTACTATGGGTTAGATTCCTTTGATAATAACGCCGAACTGAGATATAAACGATGGAAAGATATGCCAAGAGAACACCTAAGAGAGCTGAACTTTGCGGAGTTGTTAGAGAAGGCGGAAACATTCTTTCCTCCAACCAGAAAACCTATACTAATTTCTTTTCTCACTGTCTTGCACCACGAGGTACTTCTCTACACTGCGGTGTAGTCAAAACGTGGTTGAGGTCGACGATGCTCGATCTTGATCTATTACCATACATAGGACACATAAATGGCCTGTGTATGTTAAGTGTCCAGCGAAAGATAGTACAAGAAAATTTAATTTTTGTAGCGAACATATTAGTTTCACTTGCCTGCCCCCCCCTAAACTAAATCCTGGCTACGCCCTTGTCCCAGTCAGTCCTATTCCTTAGTGGAATCGCATTATAAACAGTTGAACGACGCTAACAACTAATTATCAAATAGTATGCTAGATGGCGTTTGTCGCAACTTTTCCTTTGGCATTTAATTTTTTTATATGATAATTAACTATTACTTGAAATATTTGTCCCCTCGGATTAGGTATCGACTAGTATCGGAAAAAACCTATTCCAAATACCTAATCCGATATTTATGCCTCACATCTATTAATTTCCTCGTCTGGCAACACTGGCTCCTGTTCACTCATTTGATGGAGTTTTTGACGGGATTTCATCGAGTACGGTTGGCGTGTCATTTTAATTATTCTTTAATACATTTATAGTAGACATTGCAAATAAAATTGGTGTGGTTTTGTGTTACAAACGTCTGCACAACTGGAGAATTAGTGGAATCTTAAAAAAATACGCTATACTGGTCAAGTGGAAGTGAGAACTTTATTGTAGTGTTGACTACCGGAGCTTATCGAGAAAGCTGGAGTATTTGGCACGAAATGTATCGAACATTTCGTGCCAAATACTCCAAGAAACATCAGAATGGGGCACACCCACATTCTAATGTATAAAAAGAACAAAGAATACCGAAGACTAGGCTGTATGGACATTGTTTCCTTTGCCTTCACTAAAAAAGGAGAGGTAAAAAATTCATGTTTGAATTTTCAGTTCTTTGCTTGTTTTTGACGGTTTTTGTTGGTAAGTAAATTTAGGTACCAATAAAGTTATTGGAAAAAAATAAAAATAAGTTAGCAGGGTGATAAGTTGATTTCTTCCTATTGGAAGTATCTTCCAATGTAGGCAAATATGATTAATCGTGATAACGTTTATCCAATAAAACAATAACTGCAGTAACATAGAAATCTAACCTAAATGCCGAAGAAAAAAGGCCATAAAAATAATTTAAATGCAGGTAGGTAACCGAAGGTACTTTTGATGAAATTTTTTTTTACTTTCAAATAGTTTTTCTCTACACACTTTACACATGCGTAACCTTTTAACACATGTAGATAACATTCACAGGGATGATTACTATTAAAGTTTTTCTTTCCCATAGTAACTTTTACGTATTAATCATTTTATTATATATCTTATACTATTTTAATCATTTAATTTTCAGATTTCACAATAAACGACTCTGCTAATGCCCTTAAGCCAGTGGGAAAACTAAGAAAATCGGTTGAGACAGCTCCTCCTCCTGAATTGTCCTGGGACCAACTTCAGGATGAGGAGTACGACCTCGTGGAAGAAATTAACGAAGATGGAACAAAGAGCATCATCCGCAAAAAGAAAAGAAACCATTCCAAGTGTGAAAACAACATTGATGACAGCCCTGGTATTGTTTATCCTGAGATTGTATGGTACCTAATATCGAAATTCATAAAACCAGAAGATGTTGGAAGATTTGCAGGTATAAACAGAAGTGCATATGCAATAACTAAACGAGAGTCATTTTGGAGGTCACTCTATAATAAATATTGTGAGAATAAGCTAAAGTTGCCCGACAGATTGAGGTTGGAAAACAGTTACAAAGTTTATGGACTTCGGCAAAGGGTTATCAGAGCTCTGTATCATACTTATAAAGTGTTTAACATGAAAGTTGCTCATCAGGCAACCCAAGACAGTAAACCTCATGAATTGGTGAAAAGGCGCTGCGTGAATGTCTGGTTCCACAAGGGCGTACAGTATTGGTCAATATATTTCAAATTTAAGAAGTTGCACCCGCTAGAAAGATTTGAAATGGCAACTAGTCTTATTGAAGAGCTGGGGCGAGTAGATGCAAATCCAGAGGAGAACTCTCAAGTTTTACAGGTAAATAAAAATATAAAACATGCTTTTTATGGAGAATCCTAATATATATAGTTTGTGTAGGGTATTCTTACGAAATAAAAGAGAAATCGGCAAAACAGTGCAATCGTTTCCACCCTGCGGGGTCTCGTAAGGGTGGTGCAGCAAGTACTTGTAACGGCGTGTGCGCTTGGCCGCTCGAGAGGTTAATTTGAGAAGACTAAAATATGAAATTGCTGTTTTTCTGCTATATAAATTTACAAAATTTGTTGTAATTTCAGGTTACATGCCATAATTTCTATGAGGTGCCTCCATTGATGGGCATGACTCTTTCATCTGTCAGTGTTGTACTATCACAAGGATTTCGATACCATAGACTTCATCTTGGCTTCAATACAGGCTCGCATAATGTTTCCAGAGACATACTGCCGGAGTGTACAGTGATTCTAGACAGTGTTGTAAGCATGGTGGTATTGGACTGGTGGCATCCTCTATATCCTCATTTTGATAACACAGTGCCGTATAACATGAGGGATGAAGAAGCATTGCCAGTCTTGAAAAAGGATTTCTTCAATTGATTGATTAACATTAATTAATGATAAGCTAAAAGCTAATTGTGATACTTTAGTAGTATAAACTTTATTATATTTTTTGACTGTTACTGGTTTGTATCATTTATGCCTTCATCATCGTCGTCATCAGCCTATTAATGCCCCCACTGCTGGGGCACAGGCCTTCCCTATGAATGGAATAGGGAGATTGGGCCTTGACCCACCACGCGGGCCCAGTGTGGATTGTCGGGTGCAAACGACTGCCGATGCAGCCGGGACCAACGGCTTAACGTGCCTTCCGAAGCACGGAGGAGATCGAGATAGTGAATTTTCGGTCACCCATCTAATGACCGATCACTGCGAAAGTTGCTTAAGTTCAGCGATTGCAACCGAACGCGCTAAACACTTGCGCCATCGAGCTCCTCATTTAAAAATTTATGCCTTGTTTACTATAAATTGGTTTTGTATGTATAAAGTATGAAATAGAGATGGTATCCATCCACTTTAAATTAACATATACAGACTGCATAATTATGTTTTATAATTTAAAGATATTAAAGTAACTGAACACATTATCTTTGCTTCGAATAGAGAACACAGAACCTTCTGTGTTCTGTGGCTTAGACAAGTTTTTATGGTTGTAACAGTATTTTCCGACAGAAACGCGAACAAATTCCCAGGAAAAGCTAGTATCTAAATAAATATACTTGTTAAATTTATGTTTTTTCTACTAGCAAAATATATTAATCTTCTTTCAAAATATATAGACAATAATACTGTCGACACAGAACCTTCTGTGTTCTGTGGCTTAGACAAGTTCGTTATGGTTGTAACAGTATTTTCCGACAGAAACGCGAACCAATTCCCAGGCAAAGCTAGTATCTAAATAAATATACTTTGTATTATTTATATTTAAACATCAAGCAGTTACATGCTTTAAAAATAATAAAAATTATAAATATACTTGTTAAATTTATGTGTTTTTTACTAGTAAAATCTTCTTTCAAAATATACAGACAATACTGTAAGATCATAGCTTGTTTTGGAACTTTAAGGGTAGAAAGTGTGATTCTGGTTACTGGACAGCTAATGGAAATTGGGAGAAACAGTTAGAAAAAATATTTTGGATGATGTTTCACCAAAGGTACTGTATATAATTACATCATCATCATCAGACTATTAATCTCCCCGTAGCTGGGGCACAGGCCTTTCCTATGGATGGAATAGGGGATTAGGCCATGACCCACCATGCGGGCCCAGTGCGAAATGGCGGGTGCTAACGACTGCAGATGCAGCCGGGACCAACGGCTTAACATGCCTTCCGAAGCGCGGTGAAGCAGAAAATAGTAAATTTTTGGTCACTCTCTATCCTTCTTATGCAAAATATAGTAGATTGATTTTTTTTTCAGAAATATAGTATTTGATCCGCAGTAGTACTATCTCTTATCTATTAGACAAGTCCGTCCGTCCGTCCGTGGTGCTGTTTCAGCGGCCAAACCGTAAGAGATAGATATAGAGAATGTTTAAGTTATAAGTTAAGAATAGTCTGATAAGACTACAAACCGGATGTGAGTAACGTAGCACTTCCGGTTTTCGAGAAATCACGTGATTTCTATTTCAAACGAAACCACACAAAATCTCCGAAGTTCTCAATTAATTAAATACTTTTTTTTTTTTGGTGAACATTTGGTTCACAGGTTTGCTAGTATTATATAGTAGTGTTGGCGATACCCTAGTCCTAATCCCATCCAGACGGAATGTCTGTGCCTTAACAGTGGGGCTGTGGGGACTGTTACTATAGCATCTGATCATTCATACCTACGAGTAGTATTAGTAAGTAGGTACCTAAAATGTAGTCCTTCGACTGCAACTTTAGCAAAAAGCAGCCAAAAAAATAAACAAGCAAATATTAAAATTTCGACGCAATAGACGATTACAGCGGCCAATAAATAATCCTCACTGGGTTCCCCTTATGTGATCATGTCCTTTTTTTTTATTATACAGTCAAAACCTCTATTTACAGACGTTGTCGCCCTTAAGTGTCGCCGCACACGGGCCACACGCCACAGCCACAAACGCCGCCACGAGAAGCCAGAAGCGGCTACTAAAGTGGCTGAAGCGCGCGACAGCGGCCGACTAAGGTATGGGAGAGAGGGGAGGGAAATCGCGCGAGTGACGTGTGGCGGCGTTTTGTATCGGCGCATTAAGCGGCCGCCGGTGCGGGCCACAAGAAGCGAGCAACGACGATTTGTAGCGTGTGGCGGCCACCGGCGTACCGTGTGTGGCGAGTCCATATAAAATGTATGAAAACTACAAGAAATATCCCGGTGGCGGCGTTTTGTGGTTGTGGTCGGTGGCCCGTGTGCGGCGACACTAAGTGCGCTTGATGCATACTATTCGCTAAAATACCCTGCGAATACCCTCTACGTCAGTGGTTCTCAAACTTTTTAAATGACGGAACCCTTTTGGGAAGCAAAATACTTGATGGAACCCTACAATAAAACAATTATTTTTATAAGTGTATTCTATATTAATCAGCATAATAAAAGTACAATGTATCCGTTACTAATTATTATTTACTTCACCACTTGGTAAGGACAATAATAGAAAACATTAAAAAAGAAAAAATCTAACTAGTGGGAGGTATGAAACTGTTTTTTATTTTTCATCAATTGCTTGATATCAGGTTTGATGGAAGAAAGTTGGAGTCTCATATCAGCTTCGGCGTCCAGTCTATTGCGATATTTTGTTTTCGTGGCTGCGTAGGTAGAGAATCCTGTTTCGCACAAATATGTAGTTGGGAACGGGAGAAGAATATCCAGAGCCATTTGGCCAAGCATTGCATATTCATCTTGGATTCTGCACCAAAAATCATTAAGAGGCGTCGTTTTGAACAATGACTCCATACTTGTGTCTGATGACATTTCTAAAAGAGATTCATATATCTCATTTGACATGTTTTCAGGCTTTTCCAAGTTGGGTAAAAAAGGATTATGAATCCAGGAGTTCACTTTAATTTTTGTATTGTGTTCTTCGGGAAAATACTTTTCAAAAGATGCGCGCATCGAACTGAGATATTGGACCAATTCTTCAAACACATTATCTTCAAACATTTCTGAGTCGTTTTCGCTAACAAACTCAGTGAGTAACGTAAAACTTTCTATTTCTTTCTTACCAATGCAAATGATCCAAAAATCTAATTTTCTTTTAAAAGTAGTTATTTTATTATAGGCCTGAAACACTGTTGTCTGTTTACCTTGCAATGATAAATTTAATTCGTTAAGTTTTTGAAAGATATCCGCCATAAAAGACAATCGGAACAACCAAGTTTTATCATACAAACGGTCCTTCAAATTAAAAGAAGTATCTGCTGAAAGAAACATTTGTAACTCGGCTCTAAGTTCAAATAGCCTTGTTAAAGTTTTTCCCCGAGACAGCCATCGCACTTCTGTATGGAGCAGCAGTGTTTTATGTTTGCTGCCATAATCTTCACACAATAATGAGAACAATCGGGATTGTAGTGGTCGTGATTTGATAAAATTAATTATTTTTACCGCTTCATCCATAACTAATTTTAGATTAGACGGCATTTGCTTCATCGCAAGTGCTTGTCTATGCAGAATACAATGACTGGAACTACAATTAGGCGCTTTATTTTTCATTCGTGACACTGCTCCTGCTGTTTTACCTGTCATCGCCTTGGCCCCATCTGTACAAATGTCAATGCAATTGTTCCAACTGAGATTATGTTCTTCAAAAAATATATTTATTTTATTAAAAATTTCTTCCCCGGTAGTGTTTGTAAGCAGCGATGAACACATAAGCATGTCTTCTTCAAAAGAACTTTTATATGGATATCTCACAATAACCAGCAGGATAGCCAAACCAGCGACATCAGTCGACTCGTCCATTTGCAAAGCGAATCGTGTATTTTGTAGACGTGTAACTAGTTCTTGTTTGACGTAGCTTGCCAGATCATGGATTCGTCGTGAAACAGTATCGTTTGATAGCGGAACAGTAGAAAGATGCTTTGCAGATTTTTCATCAAGCATACATTTTGTTATGTCTAATACACATGGTTTTATTAATTTCTCAGCGATAGTGTGCGCTTCACCTGCTTGTGCAATGCGATAGCTAACTAAGTATGATGCCTCCGTGGCCTTTTCGTTGGTAGTTTGTGTTACATGCATCATATTTTTTTGACTTTCTAATAACTGATCTTTTTTGCGAACAAAAAATTCTTTATTCTTGTCTTTAGTCTCGGGGTGTACGGTTTCTAAATGTCGACGCAATTTGGCAGGTGCCATGGAACTATTAGGAAGCAGTTTACTACAGAGCATGCAGAGAGGTGAGCCGTTGGAATCAACAAATCCGAAACTGATATAAGATTCATCATACTTCCTTTTTTTCGTCTTTGAAACCGTCGAGCTTGACGTCGTGGCACTCGTGGCATCATCTTCTGGATCGGTGATTGCTAAATTCTCCGCGCGCATTGCTTTTGAACATTCAGCGTCATTAGAAGATGTTGTTGGAACACGTTTAACACCTTTAAGCCAACGTTCCATTCTTCTTTATTTATAATGTTACAAGTCAGGATAGTGGGGTTTAAATAATGCACAATCGTTACTGCGTATAAGAGACTAAATTTAGAACCTACAGGGAAGAAATGTATAAAACTGAGACAACAGAATACAGCAGGCAGTAAAACAATGAACACCAGTTTCTTGCTAGCGAGCTTGTAAGTAGGTAGTAACTTATCGCTCCGAACGCTAATCATCAACTGACGACGCCAACGCGCGATCGCCGCTTTTATACTTAGTCCTAGACTCGATCTCAAATATTCTCGAAAATACTCGAGTCGGCACCTTTGATAAACAAAAAGCAAAAATAAAAACAGAAATTTAAAAATAGCGTTGTAAACAATATCGACTTTATCCTTTGAAGTTAGAGACGAAAGTCGCTAGTTGACAACTATAGCGTCTAATTCAGAGGCGGCTTTTATCAAAGAGACTGAGCGCTTACAAGTATACTACCCGCTCGTTTTAAGTTTGCCGCTGGCGATAGGTATGAGTGTATGACGTTCGAAATTTTTTATTTAATTGTAACAATAAAAATTGTGTACGTTAGATATTTGGGTAAAACTATGACACATTATAAGTTTTGTTGTCACGTGGGGGAGGGTACGCGCATTCCACAGACCGGCAAACTTAGAGCGAACGCGTTGTACAAGTATAAAATTGTTGAGACCAAACTTATGAGATATTGTACCAGCTAATGTAACACAAGCTTATACAAATACAAATAAATAAATAAATAACATTCATAGCGTTTTGTCTCCGCGCGGCCGCGGAGTCCGCACAGCCGCGGAGCGACCAGAGAGAGGTGTTTTGATTTTTTTATTTCTAAATTCTTGCGGAACCCCGACAGAGGTATCACGGAACCCTAGGGTTCCGCGGAACACACTTAGAGTATAGCTGCTCTACGTTGTTACGTGCGGAACCGCTAGATCCCCGTTGAGGGACTTCACCGCGTCATGTGACCATGTCCTAAAAAATAGGTTGTGTCCTAGCAATCTGATCTTTATAGAATTGCTAAGGATTCGTCATCATTGCGTCGTTTATTAAGGTTCTGTACCTCAAAAGGAAAGAACAGACGAAGATCACTCTGTCTGCCCGTCAATAATCTCAAGAATGTGAGTGTGATTGTGTTGAGATTTAACTATGAACTTAAGTCTAAGTTCCCTTAAAGTAGGGATAAATCACACTTCTAAGTTAACTTGAAAAACCCGAGTGCTAGTCGGATCTGCACACGAAGGGTTCCGTGTTATTATCTCTATACAATATTAGACACTATATTAAAATATCGAGCAAAAAAAATTCGTGTGTTGTATGGGAGTCCCCTTAAATATTGATTTTTAGAGTGAATTAAATACAACTAAATATTCTGTCTACCTGTTGCCGTTGTGGCGACTTTGCACCGCATAAAAGTTGGTCCATGTCGCCATACAGCCAGTGTCTATGGACATTCCGTAGGCACTGGCATAAATGCTCTAAGGCACTGGCATATTAGAAATTAAGTTTTTATAATTATGTTCTTTTTGATATTTTCTGTTGGATGTTTAATTGTTATTCAAAAACTAGACTTCAAGAAGAAGATTTCGTTTCTTACAGATGGTATTTTTGTATAATGAATATTTCCAAATATAGTGTTGATAAGTTGACCCAGTATTGCCGTTTTATTATTCCATTCCGCTCGTGGGGATGAGCTGTTAAACATCCCCCAAACCGTTATTAATATAGAGCAAAAAACACGTTTGTTATATGGCAGCCCCCTTAAATATTTATTTTATTCTTTTTTTAGTATTTGGGTACGGGATCCTAAAAAAAGGTCGTTTATGTTGCGTGCCTACAAAGTACGGTACCCTCGGTGGCGGAGTCCGACTCTCACTTGTCCGGCTTTTTATTGCGCCATTAAACGTACATAATTAAAGATCACCCCTGTATGGCAAGCAAACCATATTGGATTTAAATCTAAAGAAAAGTTTACTAGAAAAAAAATCCACGCGGACCAGGCAGCGGACGGGACTCGAACCCGCATCCTTCGCAATCCGGGCGAATGCACTGACCATTATGCTACCACGGCCCTATTAGCCGCGTCGCTTCCTAGCCTTAAGCTGCAAGGCAGCGCCATCTCTTCGCATTGTAGGTAACCCACAATGTCAAATGAATACTTTTTCAAGTATTAAACATTTGAAAGAAGAAATAGCAATTATAGTTATGATTTTATTTATTTTTAAGCATTTAACTGCTAGATGTTTAAATCTAAAGAAAAGTTTAAACTTTTCATTAGATTTAAATCTAAACAAAATATTATTTTCATTAATAGCTATTATCTAAAGAAAAGTTTAAACTTTTCTTTAGATTTAAACTTTAGAAAAGTTTAAACTTTTCTTTAGATTTAAACATCTAGCAGTTAAATGCTTAAAAATAAATAAAATCATATTGGATTTAATTTGCAAACAAATTAAAGTGGAAAAATATTAGTTTGCTGATGAAGTCGCTAGTTGAAAACATGACAGCAAGGATCTTTTTCTAAAGTTTAAATTGTTTACGTCGTGATACATCGAGAGATAGCAACTTCCATCAGTAATAGGTAGGTAGGTAATTTGTTGAACTGGACCGATGAGATAATCACGGATATAATGACCTGCGCTGGCGCATAAACATGACCTATAGCTATCTCGATTTGGAGTGTTTGCTCAGTACACTTGAGCGACTCATTTGAGACAATCGACTGTTGACTCGAAATGTTGCAGAGTTTTATTTTGATCCTTTGCTGTTTAACAGTAAGTTTTTATCTATAATTTCCACTTTAGTTAGGTATTCATTTAAAAATAAAGTAGTGTTTTATAAGTTTTATAAAAACGTAACGATAGCGCGACTCAGAAGCCGTTGCTATTGGTACGCGAGGTAGCGTTGTGGAATTGATGATAATATTTTTATTGTGGTTTTTAATAACAGTTTTTAACAACAAATGCTGCAAAACTTTATCTATGTTACTATGAATGTTTTCTTCTAAGGAATATTCAATAGGTAAAAAATTGTCTTTTACCAAAGTTGAACGACTATTACTCTTAAAATAAGAAATCTATCTTATTTAAATAGTTTTCATTAATAGCTATTATCATGAATTTTCCAGGTGTCTCAAGCCAATACTTATACAGGATAGATGGGGGGAGGGGAGTAATTGAATTTTTCATTACTATTTAAGAACGGTTTTTTTTATTTTATTTTACCACCTCATTGTTCATAGAATTGCTAAGAATGAGATTTCTTACCGACAAATTCCTATTTATTACTGCCCACACGAAACCACCCGTCAATAATTTTTTACCGCCCATTTAATTATTTTCCTGCTCAATTATATATTCACAGATCCATTTCATTATATTTTATTACACATTTTTGTTTACTTTACTGCTTAGTTTTAACTGCTGAACTTGTTATTAAAAGTGCCATTTATAATTTTTAACTTACCAAAACTGCTATTTACAACTGCCTCTTTAAATCAGTGCCGATATTAATGTTCTCTATAAAACTTTACTACATTACTTTGCTGTATTGTCAATGACTTTCGCAGCGTAGGTACGCGATATGAGTTTATGTTTTGTTATTTTTTCTTACATTATCGACATTTTTGTTACATTATCGAAGTTTTCATACGGAACCCCAACTTTTTTGGAAACACTATCTATAGACTATGTTCATCCATCAGGGATAATGTGGGATTCTAAATGTGAAATATTTTTTCAAATTGGTCCAGTAGTTTCGGAGCTGACAACAACCTTATACAAACAAACAAACAACCAAATATTTCCTCTCTATATTATAATAATAATATTTACTTGGTAACTTGTGCTGTGGGCCATTTTCAGGCATCAGGAAGCACAGGCACGTAAAATTTTTACCGACTTTACTTGCCACGTTAGCAGCCCCCCGCGTCCCCTCCCTCAACGGGCATGCAAGTAAATCAAGGGTGTATTCCGAAATACACATCAGTATACTGGCCAGTGGTAATAACGTCACGTAACCGACGCCATATTGTACTGGTATGCTACCGTATTTTTACCGGGAAAACGCATGACGTATGACCGAGCGTGCGTGAGACGCATTCGAATTTTATTTCTTTTTTATTTAAAGGATAATAATGGCATCAGAACAAAAAGAATTCCTTTAAATTGATGCGGTGAATATAAAAGTCTTCTTTATTCGCACTATTTTTAATATTTCGTCGATTTATGACGTCAGTGCACTGGCCTATATGTTTCGGAACAATTCACCAGTATAGCGTCGATTCATGACGTCATTGGCACTGGCCAGTATACAGTTTATATTACGGAATATACCCGAAATGTTGGGCTAGCTGCATGCATGCCAGTATGCCAGTATTACAAACATGCCAGTTAGCGTACCTATTCACATGACAGTAGCTGGCACGTGCAAGGAGCTGGTATGCTAGTGTGCAAGCTACGGACATGTGTATCCCCAGCTTGAGAGTCTGAGGATTGAGTCCTGCGTATGTTGTAGAGAATATTGTAAACAATTTGAAAATAATACTGCTAGACGCATTCTGTTAGCAGTTTTGGCTGCCAGACAATTTTAATGTCGAAAGCAAAAAAACTCAACCTTGCAGGCATGCAGAGCAGCTGCTACCTCGCAGGCAGCCGTGCCGCCTCCGGCCACGCCGCAAGTTTATTGTGGCGAATTACCGAATCAGGCAAGTTATTTTTTCTCACACCAATTAGCCTAGCCCCAAAGTAAGCACTGTAAGGCTTGTGTTATGGGATACTAGGGTAACGGATAGAATACATACATATACTGATACACATATAAGTATATTTATAGAGAAATACATATTAAACATCCATGACTGGAGTACAAATGCTCGTATTCATCACACAAACATCTGCGTGTTCAAACGAATCATCAATCGATTACTACCGCCATGGCTTAGAAAACGGATGCAATGAGGGCTATCGCGTATGAATCCGCCGCTAGAGGCGCTTGTGTAGCGTGAGGTCTCCGAAATGTCAAATGTTATTGGTTGTGGGTTGACTGCGCGGGTTTATTTCTAATTAAAATAATGTTGTGAATATTTAGTAATAACTCGGCTTAATTATAGCAAATATAAGTTACGTGGCATTGAATGTCAGTTATTTAAAAGCGGAGCTAAGAAAAATAATTATGTCCTCCTTTTTGCCGTACAAAACGGAGCTGCGCAACACTGTGGTATGGCCAATTATGTTTAGGATACGGTTCTTTTGTATTAAAATATGATTTAAATGTATACTTTGATTTCACGCGCGTATTAATAAACATTAAAAGTTACAATTCAGGACCTCACTCAACAGTGGCGCCATCTGGTGAGACAAAAAACGGTAGCCCTCATTAAAATAATATATATAATATTTTATTTGTTGATTTCAGATTTATAGCTGTCTCAAGCTACATAATATACACCCAGGCGTCTCTACCGGCAATTGTCTGAGAACCTCTGATTCAGTGAGTATATTGGATTCAATTATGCGAGTGTCTATGGGTGTATTCCGAAATATAAACCAGAACGCTGGCCAGCGGTAATGACGTCATGATTTTGACGCCATATTGCACTGGTGTAGTAGTAGTGTTGTCAATATGGCGTCGAAATCATGACGTCATTACTACTGGCCAGCGTACTGGTGTTTGATTCGGAATACACCCTATTTATCGACGAGTGAACGAGTTAAATCAAGATCGAGCCTCTACAATTAGGTCGTGTAATAAGTGCGGACAATATTATGAGAAGTTATTCTTTCTTATCCTTAGATTAAAATCTGAGTTCTTATCCCACCGTAGGCATTGTCCTAATACAACGCGATAACGCGAATGAGCGATGCGATCATCGTACGAGTCGACGATCAAACATATTGATCTAGAATAGGTATCCTAATAGGCGATCGCGCGATGCATTCGCGCGACTAAAATGTTTCAAAATCTATTCACGCGACCTTAGTTCGCGCGAACGCGCAATCAAACCTATTAATGATGAGTAGGTGTCCTAACTGAAGTTCACGCGATGATCGCGTCGCGTCGATAGGAAGCGGGGAGAGGGGCAGGGCTAACCCGACCAAACTGTGTGTCAATCGCGATCGCGTATTCGCGTAAATCGTTATCGCGTATTCGCGTTCTATTAGGACACCCAGTTCGCGATCACGCGATGGTCGCATCGTTTAAACGCGCGATGATCGCGTTATCGCGTTGTATTAGGACAATGCCTTAATCCTTTCTTGAAAGCACCCACGCGCGCTGGCCTACGCTGAAACCTACTTAATAGGACCAGTATTCCAACGCAAAAAAGATATTTCGCTACTCATTTCTTTGTCGCCGTATTCTTAAATGGAATACTTTGCCCGCTCAATTCCCCTCCCTCCTACAAATTTGAGTAATTTAAAAGAGGTATGAAAAAGCAACTCGCTCTCCACTGCCACTTTACATCAGGATGTGGTGTTATTTGCTCAGACTGTCATATGCCTAATTTATTTGTCTGTGAGGTAGCTGAATTCCGCCAACCAGGGTCGGATTTAGAGGTGTGGGGCTGGGGCAACAAAGCAGTGGGCGCTACTTTAAAATATGGCACCCCGCCTCACTTACAATTTGCACCTACCCCCAGGTTGGTGACCCGTCGAAATTTTGTCTCTCTTGTGGGCCGCAGCCCTGCCTTAAGAGCGGACCCGAGCTGAGAGTCATTTAAGAAATAGATATTTGAAAAAGCTATTGCTGTCACACATTGGTAAATACAGTGCGATAGAGACAACAGTAGTTAACGATAAAAAATTGCCTGTAAAAGTTGCAAAATTCGAGGTTTGGTTCCCGACGATTTCCTCCTCGAAAATTTAACATATGCAATGAAATTTTACCCATTGAATAATAAGTACCTAGTTATACTATGCCTCTATGTTTTGTTTTTTTTGTAAATGCTTATTTAATCTCCACACTAGACGTATTTAGTGGTGATTAAGTTTTGTTTTTTTTATGCATTTATGAGGGCTAGTCTAGTTCGTTCAAAACACAAGTTATTAAATATAAAGGAAGCCAGCCATAGCAGTAGAATGAATAAAAATATATTTTAGTAGTGGCCCGCCCTCGCTCCGCTTCGGTGTAGAGCTGAAGTGTAGACTACAGTTTTTGTTCTCAGGCTTGTATTATACACAATGACATTCATCTATGATTCTTCTTATACCAGCATCCAAAGTCAGCCCGATCGGTTTAAAATTGACAAAGTTTCATACAAACTTTCATTCCCTATTTTATCCCCTTGGGGGTAGAATTGATCAAATCCTTTCTTAGCGGATGCCTACGCCATAACATCTACCTACATGCCAAATTTCAGCCCGATCTGTCCAGTGGTTTGGGCTGTGCATTGATAGATCACTATGTCATTCAGTCACCTTTGAGTTTTATATATATAGATAGATGTATGAAAATCAATTCTTTAGAAAATATTGCCCGTCTCCCCTCTTAAATCCGGTCCTGCAGCAACAGATAAGAAGCTATTTTTTTTTCTGTTCAAGTGTGAGAAACTGAGCTGTGTCCTCCGGGAAGGCGGCATGCTAGTGGACGGCAAGTTGAACAAGACCAAAGCGGCGGAGTACTACGATAACTTCGGCGTAGAAAATCCGCAGTGGGCGGCGGCGGTGACGCACGTCAAGGCGGAGTGCGTGGAGCGTGACCTGCCCGCACAAGGCACCTACCTCGACTGCCCCGCGTATGACCTCATGTGGTGTGCGCTGACGGCGTTCATAAGGGTACCTATCATCATCATCATGATCAGCCTATTAATGTCCCCTTTGCTGGGGCACAGGCCTTCCCTATGGATGGAATAGGGAGATTAGGACATGACCCACCACGCGGGCTCAGTGCGGATTGGTGGGGTGCTAACGACTGCAGATGCAGCTGGGACTAACGGCTTAACGTGCCTTCCGAAGCACGGAGGAGCTATAGATAGTAAATTTTTGGTCAGCCATCCTATGACCGACCAGTGCGAAAGTTGCTTAACTTCAACGATCGCAGCCGAACGCCCTAACCACTTGCGCCAGCGAGCTCCTCAGAGTCAGGGTACCTATACCTCCCGGCAAAGTTACTAACCTATAACGAGACACGACAACGGCTAACTAGAGCCGAGGTCCGAGTCTCAGAGACGCCCTCTAGTTGAGCCGACCACCTCAGGTTCGAGTGGTCTAGTCTAGACGTTTCAGACGGAGAGGAGGCTTCCTTCGTGGGGAGATACCATCCGCCTGGAATAACTCCAGAGGCACTCGCTAATTCTCGGTAAGGTAAGGCTAATGTCCCCTTAGGATCTCGCCGTCTCCAAACCCGGTGACGCTGTAAAGGTCATCTGCGACCAACAGCATATACACTCAAAAAAGAAAATATCGCTCACCGCGTCACAGTTGTGACTTTTTTGTGGCAAGCACGGTTTCTGCGTTCAGCCAATGTCAAGTAAAAACTTAACACGCTTATTTAAGGAAAGCGCTTAATTATTTATTTTTTTCTATTTTGCACTAGGCAGAGATTTTTGTCACATCGATTAGACGGAAAGAGCTAGTTTGTTATCTGCTAACAGGGACCAGAGTAGCGTTTTAATCCCCGGGGACTATAAGTGATTTTAATACTGATGTTATTTCGTAAAAATTTCAAGCACCACGAATATTTTATGAACAAGTCACAGAGTAAACCGCGAGCTCGTTGAAACCTAACCTTATATTAGTCAAGAAAGAAATAAAACCTACTAAAAAAATAATAAACCATTTGAACATTATGTTTGTGATGTTAAATTCTCCTCCACAGCCCTCTTTTAAGCTCACTCAGAGCACCGGGGAAACAATGAAAGAAAACCAAAAGAATTAAGATAATGTTATAAGTATATTTTATCCACTTTAGATACCAAAGCAGAGGAATTCAGTAGTTTTAAGTTATTGCTTATATAAACCAACAAGCCTAACTATGTTTATTATTTATATAATAACTATGTTTCACTAATTATAAATATCTAAGCTGAATACAGTAGTTCAAAGTTAAAGTGTATATAAACCAACAAGTTGTCATGAGATGTTATAATTATATGAATATCAGACATTCATAACACTTTACCATGCACTTACATGAGTTCTCAACTATATCTAATATATTTTATCCACACATACCACATAGACTAGACTGAATAAGCTATTTAGTGGATTTCAGAGGTTCTACGGCTCGTTTGATTGATATTGGTGACAAACTTAGTTAATTCCAGTTCTCAGTGAGATAACCAGTTATATAGATATATGTATATATATGGAAATGGGTAGGTCGGGGTCCAACCTCGCCTGGTGGTTCTTCTCCACGCTCACCCGGGGTTAGTAGTGAAATACCTTGATTAGGATAGGTTTAGCAGTGTATGATTTGTCCGCTGTTACGGCCGGGTTACATAAAACCGGAGAGCGGCTGGCAAATAAACTCCCGCGTCCCTTCTGGTCCGTGTACAGAGAAAGAGTCTCCTTGTTATTCCTCCAGTATTTCTTGAGGGGAACGTACAAGCCGTTCAAAATATGAAACTATCCGTAAGTATTTTGTTTCCTATCACAAGTTACTGCCTTATTGCAACGCCTTGCGAAGGTTCGTGTTCGTCCACCTGCGAAACTCAGTTCGGTTAGCGACTCCGCGCTATTTCCGCCAATATCCTTCAGGATATAAACTTTTCGGATCTATTTCACGACTCCGACGACTATAATATGCCTTATAATATACTTTGGGCAGAAGAAACGATGAAAAGATAACTGTACCACAAACAGATTGTGAAATTTTAAATGTTGTTTTGACAATTGCTCATAGATGATAGACGGGTCGTCCACTCCCAAACATGTGTCTATGATTTGTTTCTCACTCCAACTGAAGGCAAAGGCCACAGTCAAACAGACAGCCGCCGCATTCGAGACGAACCGAAGAATATACTCAAAACTATATACCTACGCTCGCCGTAAGCTGAGGAAAAGGGAATACCTACCCAAATCAGCGAGGAAATTCAATTTCGAGTAAAATTCAAAATCGATTAAAAACAGCGCCCGATAAGAAGGACTCAAATCGATATGGGAAAAACTATTCAAAATTCAACAACTGTCAAACTCCATCCATTCATCCACGCGCCCCCACAGAGATTCACTGCCTGATTACTTTTTTTTTTTTTTATAAGTCTCAAGGCGAATATTTTAGTCGAATAGAAAAATCGACTATTCCCTCAAGGCTACCAACCCAATCAATGAAGTTTGACAGCTACGCTGACGTAAGCGGTTCGCTATCATAGACAAAACAGCTGTCCTACGTGTGTCAGTGTCACGCTCTGTTTAAAAACAAACGCTACATGTTATAAAATCAAATCAAATAGCGCGCGCTTCCCTAACTTCCTGTTACACACTTCCGTCTCACTCACGTAATCACAATCCCACAAATTCCACGAAAGCGAGAGGACAAATGTTACACATCAAAAATCGGCCAAGAGCATATCGTGCCTGTGCCACGCGCAGTGTAGACTTCCGTAGTTGCCCGTCGTAACCACAAAACTTCAATATCAGGAGATGTATGGACGTTTCAAGTTCTCCTATACTTATACATGCGATTGATGAACGACTATTACTCTTCAACTAACGGATCTATCATCACCTTTATAATCTCTTATCTATTAGACAAGTCCGTCCGTCCGTCCGTCTGTGGTGCTGTTTCAGCGGCCAAACCGTAAGAGATAGATTCAATTCAATTCAATTCAAACTCATTTATTCAGTCTAGGCTGTTACAAGCTCTTGTGAAAGTCAAACGCTACGCCATCGGTTCGTAAATCTACGGCGGGAGACCTTGTACTGAGAAGAACCGGCAAGAAACTCAGCAAGGGCTATTTTTTTCTCCCAGTTTTGTTTCACACAGTGTCGTCAATTGAAAGATGACATCAAAAATTGAATACATGTGTTGATGTCAACTTCCATCACATTAATATTATTAATTAACAAAAGTTAAGTATAACTAGGTACTATTTTTAAATTTAGAAGATAAAGAGAATATTTAAGTTATAAGTTAAGAATAGTCTGATAAGACTACAAACCGGATTTGAGTAACGTAGCACTTCCGGTTTTCGAGAAATCACGAATTTCAAACGAAACCACAGAAAATCTCCGAAGTTCTCAATTAATTAAATATATTTCTTTTTTTTTTAAATCAGGTTTTGGTGAACATTTGGTTCACTGGTTTGCTAGTATTCTTTAAAAGTTCATGTAAAGCACTATTATCATGAATTTTTCCAGATTTTTCAAGCTATTAGTTTAGCTTTTAGTAGAGGGTGGACGTCCAACTCGAATAAAAATTTGCACTATAAAGTGTAATATTTCTCAAACGGGTTCCTAAATCGAAAATTAGTCATAGCAACCCCTAAGTCATTTTAAATGACCTATTCAACGATACACTACACCAGTGGTTCTCAAACTTTTTAAATGACGGAACCCTTTTGGGAAGCAAAATACTTGATGGAACCCTACAATAAAACAATTATTTTTATAAGTGTATTCTATATTAATCAGCATAATAAAAGTACAATGTATCCGTTACTAATTATTATTTACTTCACCACTTGGTAAGGACAATAATAGAAAACATTAAAAAAGAAAAAATCTAACTAGTGGGAGGTATGAAACTGTTTTTTATTTTTCATCAATTGCTTGATATCAGGTTTGATGGAAGAAAGTTGGAGTCTCATATCAGCTTCGGCGTCCAGTCTATTGCGATATTTTGTTTTCGTGGCTGCGTAGGTAGAGAATCCTGTTTCGCACAAATATGTAGTTGGGAACGGGAGAAGAATATCCAGAGCCATTTGGCCAAGCATTGCATATTCATCTTGGATTCTGCACCAAAAATCATTAAGAGGCGTCGTTTTGAACAATGACTCCATACTTGTGTCTGATGACATTTCTAAAAGAGATTCATATATCTCATTTGACATGTTTTCAGGCTTTTCCAAGTTGGGTAAAAAAGGATTATGAATCCAGGAGTTCACTTTAATTTTTGTATTGTGTTCTTCGGGAAAATACTTTTCAAAAGATGCGCGCATCGAACTGAGATATTGGACCAATTCTTCAAACACATTATCTTCAAACATTTCTGAGTCGTTTTCGCTAACAAACTCAGTGAGTAACGTAAAACTTTCTATTTCTTTCTTACCAATGCAAATGATCCAAAAATCTAATTTTCTTTTAAAAGTAGTTATTTTATTATAGGCCTGAAACACTGTTGTCTGTTTACCTTGCAATGATAAATTTAATTCGTTAAGTTTTTGAAAGATATCCGCCATAAAAGACAATCGGAACAACCAAGTTTTATCATACAAACGGTCCTTCAAATTAAAAGAAGTATCTGCTGAAAGAAACATTTGTAACTCGGCTCTAAGTTCAAATAGCCTTGTTAAAGTTTTTCCCCGAGACAGCCATCGCACTTCTGTATGGAGCAGCAGTGTTTTATGTTTGCTGCCATAATCTTCACACAATAATGAGAACAATCGGGATTGTAGTGGTCGTGATTTGATAAAATTAATTATTTTTACCGCTTCATCCATAACTAATTTTAGATTAGACGGCATTTGCTTCATCGCAAGTGCTTGTCTATGCAGAATACAATGACTGGAACTACAATTAGGCGCTTTATTTTTCATTCGTGACACTGCTCCTGCTGTTTTACCTGTCATCGCCTTGGCCCCATCTGTACAAATGTCAATGCAATTGTTCCAACTGAGATTATGTTCTTCAAAAAATATATTTATTTTATTAAAAATTTCTTCCCCGGTAGTGTTTGTAAGCAGCGATGAACACATAAGCATGTCTTCTTCAAAAGAACTTTTATATGGATATCTCACAATAACCAGCAGGATAGCCAAACCAGCGACATCAGTCGACTCGTCCATTTGCAAAGCGAATCGTGTATTTTGTAGACGTGTAACTAGTTCTTGTTTGACGTAGCTTGCCAGATCATGGATTCGTCGTGAAACAGTATCGTTTGATAGCGGAACAGTAGAAAGATGCTTTGCAGATTTTTCATCAAGCATACATTTTGTTATGTCTAATACACATGGTTTTATTAATTTCTCAGCGATAGTGTGCGCTTCACCTGCTTGTGCAATGCGATAGCTAACTAAGTATGATGCCTCCGTGGCCTTTTCGTTGGTAGTTTGTGTTACATGCATCATATTTTTTTGACTTTCTAATAACTGATCTTTTTTGCGAACAAAAAATTCTTTATTCTTGTCTTTTAGTCTCGGGGTGTACGGTTTCTAAATGTCGACGCAATTTGGCAGGTGCCATGGAACTATTAGGAAGCAGTTTACTACAGAGCATGCAGAGAGGTGAGCCGTTGGAATCAACAAATCCGAAACTGATATAAGATTCATCATACTTCCTTTTTTTCGTCTTTGAAACCGTCGAGCTTGACGTCGTGGCACTCGTGGCATCATCTTCTGGATCGGTGATTGCTAAATTCTCCGCGCGCATTGCTTTTGAACATTCAGCGTCATTAGAAGATGTTGTTGGAACACGTTTAACACCTTTAAGCCAACGTTCCATTCTTCTTTATTTATAATGTTACAAGTCAGGATAGTGGGGTTTAAATAATGCACAATCGTTACTGCGTATAAGAGACTAAATTTAGAACCTACAGGGAAGAAATGTATAAAACTGAGACAACAGAATACAGCAGGCAGTAAAACAATGAACACCAGTTTCTCGCTAGCGAGCTTGTAAGTAGGTAGTAACTTATCGCTCCGAACGCTAATCATCAACTGACGACGCCAACGCGCGATCGCCGCTTTTATACTTAGTCCTAGACTCGATCTCAAATATTCTCGAAAATACTCGAGTCGGCACCTTTGATAAACAAAAAGCAAAAATAAAAACAGAAATTTAAAAATAGCGTTGTAAACAATATCGACTTTATCCTTTGAAGTTAGAGACGAAAGTCGCTAGTTGACAACTATAGCGTCTAATTCAGAGGCGGCTTTTATCAAAGAGACTGAGCGCTTACAAGTATACTACCCGCTCGTTTTAAGTTTGCCGCTGGCGATAGGTATGAGTGTATGACGTTCGAAATTTTTTATTTAATTGTAACAATAAAAATTGTGTACGTTAGATATTTGGGTAAAACTATGACACATTATAAGTTTTGTTGTCACGTGGGGGAGGGTACGCGCATTCCACAGACCGGCAAACTTAGAGCGAACGCGTTGTACAAGTATAAAATTGTTGAGACCAAACTTATGAGATATTGTACCAGCTAATGTAACACAAGCTTATACAAATACAAATAAATAAATAAATAACATTCATAGCGTTTTGTCTCCGCGCGGCCGCGGAGTCCGCACAGCCGCGGAGCGACCAGAGAGAGGTGTTTTGATTTTTTTATTTCTAAATTCTTGCGGAACCCCGACAGAGGTATCACGGAACCCTAGGGTTCCGCGGAACACACTTAGAGTATAGCTGCACTACACAAAGGCATAGACGATAAATTAAAAATTATCTCCAATTTACATAAGTGGCCGTTCATAAAATACGTCACGCTAAAATCAGCTTTTTCCGACCCCCTCCCCCCCTATTGTCACGCTGTGTCACACTTTCCCCCTCTTGAAATATTCCGTCACAAAAACGGAGACCCCCCCCCCCCCAAATATGATTAATTTCAATTGATAGTACACAAATTTTAAGAATTTAAATATTTAAAAAAAAATTAAATAATTCAAATTTTTTATAATAAAATTTAAATATATAAATAAATATCTTTTCATAACAAATAAATAAATCATATTTCTATTTATGTTTACTAAATATGAAATAAACGATTTTCTGTCTTGATGAAAATTGAGAAAGAATACTAATTTAATTTTTTTTTAATGAGCGACGAACGTCACGTTTCCGTAGACCCCCCGTCCCCCCTTGTCACATCTTGTCACACTTAGCAAGACCCGTCCCCCCCCCTTGTATGCGAACGTATTTTATGAACGGCCCTTAAAGGGAAGCTTTTACTTTTGGCTTACGGAACCCTCAAAAATTACCTCGCTTTGTCACACGTTATTAAACTAATGCTTCTCAAACAGTTTTTATACAACTCCGATCTCGTAAACCTATAAGTGTCACCGCACACGGGCCACACGCCACAGCTACAAACGCCGCCACGAGAAGCTAGAAGCGACTCCTACAGTGGTTGAACCGTTGAAGCGCGCGACAGCGACCGACTAAGGTAAGGGAGAGTGGGGTGGGGAATCGCGCGAGTGACGTGTGGCGGCGTTTTGTAACGGCGCATTAAGTGGCCGGTGCCGGCCACAAGAAGCGAGCAACGACGATTTGTAGCGTGTGGCACCGCCGCGCCGTACCGTGTGTGGCGAGTCCATATAAAATATATCAAAACTTATGTTTTTATTTATTTTAAGCATTTAACTGCTAGATGTTTAAATCTAAAGAAAAGTTTACTAGAAAAGAAATCCACGCGGACCAGTGGGCCAATCGCCTAACTGGATTGCTTTGGAAAACGCTATCGCTTACGATTTCATTTTGTTATTTCTAACCGCCGAAATACCTCACGCTCATTTTCTTTAACATTGTTATTACCAATGCAAAAGAAAAAAAAAGAGCGCGAGGCATTTGAAAACCTCAGGGGGCTAGAAATAACAAAATGAAATCGTAAGCGATAGCGTTTTCCAAAGCAATCCAGTTAGGCGATTGGCCCCCAGGCAGCGGACGGGACTCGAACCAGCACACTTCGCAATCCGGGAGAATGCACTGACCATTATGCTACCACGGCCCTATTAGCGTTGAAATTTTCCTAGCCTTAAGCTGCAAGGCAGCGCCATCTCTTCGCATTGTAGGTAACCCACAATGTCAAATGAATACTTTTACAAGTATTAAACATTTGAAAGAAGAAATAGCAATTATAGTTATGTTTTTATTTATTTTAAGCATTTAACTGCTAGATGTTTAAATCTAAAGAAAAGTTTACTAGAAAAAAATAATAATAGGGCCGTGGTAGCATAATGGTCAGTGCATTCGCCGGATTGCGAAGGGTGCGGGTTCGAGTCCCGTCCGCTGCCTGGTCCGTGTGGATTTTTTTCTAGTAAACTTTTCTTTATGTATGAAAACTACAAGAAATATGCCGGTGGCGGCGTTTTGTGGTTGTGGTCGGTGGCCCGTGTGCGGCGACACTTAAAGTGGTAGCCACGCACGTCACAGCCACTTTTATAACTTTTGTAAAGAATATATTTGTTTCTTAGGTTTCCACGCACACCAATCATTAAATAAAACAAGTTTCAACGGTATAGATGCACTGATTTTATTTATTTATTGACGTTTCGCATCCTTTTCAAGATGCGTCGTTTGAATAATGATTTCATTTACTTTGTTGAGCTACCTTCGAAAGATTTTTTTTGAAGTGATAATTCTTTACGCACGCTTGACTTGACGAGTAAGCTGGCGAACGCGTGACGCGTTACGAAAAGTGCGATCGAGCGAGGCGAGGCGATACATTCAGATGGAACTAAAGAAGTTTCACTTCAGTCGTATGGTCATAAGCACACTCGTTTTTTTATTGAGCGTTCATTTGTTTATATTTTATAAAGACCATATTTATTAAAGACTAGTGGCCCGCCCTCGCTTCGCTTCGGTGTAGAGCTGTAGTGTAAACTATAGTTTTTGTTCTCAGGCTTGTGCTATAAAGAATGACTTTATTTATATAATTACATGTGTTATTGTGAGTCAACCATAAAAGATAGACATATGCTGTTGCAGGATATTTTTTAGACAATTTTATGTAGAATATTTCCGTCATACATGATTTCTATGTAACTTTAACCATTAAGGCTGCACCCGCGACGGAAGCTTAAAAAATGGAGTAACTTCTCAAGTTTTCCCAACATTTCCCTTCACTACTCTGCTGCTATTTATTGATTGTAGCGTGATGAAAAGTATACTATAACCTGCCCAGGAGTATGAAGAATAATTGTACCAAGTTTCGTTAAAATCCGTCGAGTAGTTATTGTTTCTGTAAGGAACATACACACAGACAGACAGACAGACAAAAATTTTACTGATTGCATTTTTGGCATCAGTATCGATCACTAATAACCCCCTGATAGTTCTTTTTAAAATATATTTCATGTACAGAATTGACATCTCTACAGATTTATTATAAGTATAGATAATGTATGTTTTCAGAATGCCCAGCCCTCCCAGTGGTCCACTTCGGATAAGTGCGCGATCTCCAAGCAGTTCGCAGCTTCTTGTCCGTTCTGCCCTGAAAGCTGCTTCGCCCCCGCTGTCCCCATCGGATCCTGCAACGCCTGCTATTCTCTACCTAGAACGCCTTAAACTAAAATTAAATTTTAGCAGTGGAGGAATTCTCTATTCTTCTTCACTTCCTCTGAGACGACACTTAAACTTTTTATTGGGAGTAGGATGACAGATGTAACCAGCCTGTTTACAAAATTTTACATTACTAAGTAAATTAGTTGCTTTGACACTACTCTTCAATTTAGTAGTATTATAATGACTTCAAAGTTTAGGAATAGCTACAGTTTTGTTTGTCTATTGTCTGAGAAAAGTTAAATAGAGTATAGATGGTCATAGGGACCTAAATTGCGTGCACTCGATGTTGATTGTAAACAGTATATTAATTTTCTGTTTTGTATATTCACAATTGTTTTATTAGTTATTGATTAAAAGCAGTAACATAATAAGATATTGTTGTTTTATTTAGATAATCATGGTTAATATTAAGGCTTTTGACGTGATAACGTCTTAATAATAATAATAAATCGATGAACACCTGCTGCAGGCACGAAAAAGTGTGACGTCATGTCACGAGTCACGGTATGTGATGTGTTATTATAACGTTTCCTGGTGTGTGTGATGCTTTGTCTAAACATCGACAGATCTACTGTACTCTTAGTACGAGTATGAGCTCACGAAAACTATCAAAGTTTTCGTAATTGTAAATTATGTTTTTATGGTGAAAAGTAACCAAATATACTTAAAATTTAGAAGACGCAAATGATATAATGATAGAATGTAAACACTGTTTATTTGTATTGAAACGAAGACAATAAAATCAGTAAGTACCCTTAGTACGAGTGCGAGCTCACGAAAACTATCATAGTTTTCGTAATTGTAAATCTCGTACTAAGGCCATATACAGAAAGAAAGCCGAAAGCCGATCGGTGCCGATCAGCGCCAATCGGCGCTTATCGGCGCCTATTGACGCTGATCCTTTTTCTATGGACCGGCGCCGACCGACACGCGCTGGTCCGAATAATAAATAATTTGTATTTGAATTATTATCCTTAGATTAAATCAATCTAAGTTATAATCTTTTTATAAATCTAATAACTTTATCTTTTATTAACTAAGCGCTAAAATTATTTGTTTCGTACTTACCGAATGGTGACAACAAGTCTTTCTTCTGGAAGGATTGGTTGTTTATGCCAATTGCCCCAATTTTTCATCAAACGGTTTTTCACTAAATCCAAAATGTAATAAAATGTTTCTTGAATCATTCTTGCATATGTATAAAATCTTTGTTCATCAAATTTAATTTTTTTTACAAATAAATGATGGTATTCTCCGAAACGTTTCCTTTCTCTATTTATAGGATGTATAGTTTAAATAAACATTTTCTAACAAAACCGAATCATCGTCCGATGAGTCCGACATTTTGCTTGATCTGCTTTAATCGGCTTCCTTTATGTAGGAAGGATCGGCACCGACGATCGGCTTTCGGCTTTCTTTCTGTATACGGCCTAAGGGTAGAGTCCGCATACGTCGACAGTTACATCAGCAGATAATTCACCACGAGCCGACCACACGTCTGACGACGTCTGTAGGTTGTTCACTCTAGTGTTTATTCCCCACTAGTGGGCAGCCATCGCTTCGCTTCGGTGTAGAGCTGTAGTGTAGATTATAATTATTGTTCTCAGGATTGTATTATACACAATGACTTTCTTCATATAAAAAAAAAAAAAAAAAAAAAAAAAAATATACTTATATAAATCGTGCGTGAAAATTAATTTAACTGATAGTGGAAATTGTGTTGCTTAGTTTAGGACCCGTTGTATAGATTGCACCACTGCTCTGCTGTTAAAAAAGTGTGTTTACCATTTTACCATTGGTCCATGCCCTTATTATTAAATGAATCTAGTGACGCAGTATTTGGTACACACCCATCACTTTTATCACTCATAATTATTGCACTATTCGTCGCGTCTGATGTTTCTAATGTGATTCCGATCAAAGAAATTAGTATATTATGATTTGACTCAACACGCGTGGCGTGGCATCGGGTGGCGTCGCGTTTCATAAGTCTGATTCGGCCATATTGGTTTCATGAAAAATGTTGCAAAAAAGGGTTAAAATATTCTATTTGTGAGCTTTCGTTGCGTGCGCTGGGACAATGGTTCAAGTTACACAAAAATCATGTATGACGGAATTGTTCCGCTTTAAAAGTTCTATAAAAGAAATCGGGGCGGCATATGTCCATCTTTCAAGTTTGACTCACTACAACCTTTTCCCTCAAATAATCGGGGGGTGAAACAGGGGATCTCTAGTTGTGACATAACTGTAATAGTTAGACATAATTATGGTATTGCAAACATTTTTGTAGATATTGATGTCCTCTATAAAACTTTAGTACATCACTGTGCTCTATTTTCGATGACTTTCGCAGCATACGCGGCATAAGGTATTTTTTTCGATTTTGTTTTCATACATTGGGTTACATTATAACTAACTTTTTTGAAAATACTTTATAGCATATGTTCATCGGGGTTTGGGGAGCGGTGCGGTGGGCAGTGGGCCGCGCACTTAGCTCCCGGCGCGGGCAGTCCTGCGGACGTCTGCTAGATCACCCGACGTTTACATCGAATTTAGTATGGAAAAATGTGTAACGCCATCTAACGGTACCTAGACAACGAACTTATGTGATATTTTTAAATACTTTTTGGAACGAAGGTAATGGCGGAATGGGACCAGGCGAAAGTTTACCGTCGCAACCTAGCGAGGCAGCTAGCTAGGCACCTAACTAGGCAGTTAGCTAGGCAGGTGGGAGGTTGTGGACTTGGTTTTAAGTTTTGTTTGGTGAGTAATTGATCGGGGGAGGTGGCGATGGATCGGGAGCGTCCGCATTGGGCCCATTCCGCAATGAGCTTAATCCGCATTGGCAGTGGCATTGCAGTGGGTTCTTTCCGCACTGGTCCCATCCCGCACTGAGCCAAGTGCGGATTGGTGGGTAGGATATTAATATTTTTAACTTCGTTCCAACCGAGTGTCTCACGACGCCCACTCATTTTTTTTATGTCATTTTGAATATTATAAAGTACTAGCGGCCCGCCCTCTCTTCGCTTCGGTGTAGAGCTGAAGTGTAGACTACAGTTTTTGTTCTCAGGCTTGTATTATACACAATGACATTCATCTATGATTCTTCTTTTCCCTGCATGCAAAGTCTCAGCTCGATCGGTTTAAAATTGACAAAGTTTCATACAAACTTTCATTCCCTATTTTATCCCCTTGGGGGTAGAATTGATCAAAATCCTTTCTTAGCGGATGCCTACGTCATAACATCTACCTGCATGCCAAATGTCAGCCCGATCCGTCCATTGGTTTAGGCTGTGCGTTGGTAGATCACTATGTCAGTCAGTCACCTTTGAGTTTTATATATATAGAAGATTTAGAAGCTAGCAGAAGTCAAAGGTAATGCAACCGGCGGCATAAACTTGCGTTTGTGCCTCGAGTAGGGGCGTTGGGGAAACCTCATATACAGTTCCTTCCATCTGAGATCTTGTCACGGTGTAACAGGAAAAGGGATGCCAACAACATTTTCTCGGATATACGTCACGTCCGTGCGTTTATCGAACGAATAGGTTTTCCACCCACACGGTTTTCCCGCAAAACGATTTGCATCGATGTTTGTACTGCGCATGCTCCCTTAGCGAGCATGCGCTTTACCGTTTATTATCTTTGACACCTGTCAAACATTCCCAGCGAGTCAGTACCAACCCTGGCACCCTTGACGTCATTACACCAAACATCGGAAATCCCTAGTGCACTGGCTGGAAAAACATGTGAATTTCTAGGTAGGTAAGACAACCTCCTTTGTTATTAAAAAGAGAGCTTTAAAAAAAAGTCTTTTTTAAAAACCATAGATCGTCTTTTGTTTGTTATAAAATTATAGCTTTTGTTACGGATTTTTTATATAAACCGCTGTTTGTAATAATTAATGTTCTAATTGAATTTTAATGTATTTTTCTTTGGGAACATTCCATGGGTATGCTAGAAGATTATTATTGTAAGTTGGACATTTGTCGGACGTCCTTTAGACATGATACAACCTATGAGCGCCCTTGATAGTGTTCTATATTTAGCCCACAGATGAAACTTGTGACGGAATCATCAATTATTTCAGATGTAAAGTTTGCCTTCTGACCTTTCAAGTGACGATTTTACTTCAAAGCTTCTGTTAAACTTGAGGTTTTGTTAAATCTCAGATTTAAGCATGTGTTTGTCATGTTGAGTGTTTTCTTTCTATTGCGATTGACGAGGATTGAAGCATCGGTCCAAGTTTCATCACCTAAGTAGGGTAAGTGCCTAGTGAATGAACACCCTCCGGTGAATGAACAAAAATGAGTTTTTTCAGTAAAATAAGAAAAGTACTGATTGTTGTGTGAAAAGTAGATGTTCACAAAACCAAGTTTTTTTACGAAGGATCAGGTTTAAATTCATTAGATGTTCATATACAAATTATTCGGTGAGCCGTAATTACAGATAGGTGACCGTTTAAAGATGACGCGTCGTTTTGCGTCTGTGTTTATGTGAGCGAGAATTAAGGACTGGCTGAAACACTGCATTTTTGTTATTAGCGCTGTGCACGCACGCTAAAAAATTAATTTTGCAAAGATTGCGTATAATAAGATACAGCAAGGATTATTTATTTTTTAGTTTTTAGGGGGATAGCTACCATATACCTTGTTTAAAAAATATATTAAAGTATTAATGATCACGAAAGTTTAAGACAGGGTATTAATTATTTTATTCAACAAAAGAAAAAAGAAAAAAGTCGGTTGCAGGATTATAAAAATAAAAAAGTTATTGAATGTGTGTACATTCATAGGCTCTGGTCTGTTTTATCACTGTTGGTTGAATTTTTATTTTATGGATTGTGTCCCATAACATTGCATTTTAATTCCAATTTATATTATCCATCCATAGAAGCCTTTTATGTTGTCCGCTTTGGGACATAAGCCCCCTCCACTATTTTTCCATTTCTGTCTTTCCCTAGCCACATGCATCCAGATGCGGCCAGCATGGTGCCTGATGTCATCCATCCAACGCAGTGGCGGGCGTCCTGTACCACGTGTATATGACCCAGGTCGCCACTGCATC